ATTTTCTGTGCTGAGTCGTTTTTCTTTATGTATTTTCTTTTCATCTTTTTCATTGTTGTTGATTTTGTGTTTGCTGAGTCTATATTTTTCTAGTTTTTTATTTTGACTTGTAGGATTGTTAGTTTCCTTTGCAGTTACCTTAATATTTACCCCTATTTTTCTAAGTTTATACCAGTCTTTCATTTCTTTGTATCACCTTGACTTCCTCTCCATATGAAAAATCTGTCTACATTTTTCAAGTCCCTCTTTCTTGTTTTAATGTTGTCACCTGTTACATATTGACATCTGTTTCCCAATTTTCAATGTTTTGGCTTTGATTTACTTCTGTGACTTCCCTATCTGGGTTGATATCTGGTTGTTCTGTCCTATGTTCTAGTCTTGGGTTGTTATCTGATGTTACTGATTTTCTAACCAGAGGACTCCCTTTAGTATTTCTTGTAATTTTGGTTTGGTATTTGCAAATTCTCTAAACTTCTGTTTATCTGGAAATGCCCTAATTTCACCATCATATTTGAGAGACAGTTTTTCTGGATATATAATTCTTGGCTGGCAGTTTTTTTTCAAGGCTTTATATATGTCATCCCATTGCCTTCTTGCTTGCACAGTTTCTGCTGAGTAGTCCGAGCTTATTCTTATTGACTCTCCTTTGCAGATGACTTTTCATTTATCTGTAGCCGCTCTTAAAATTCTCTCTTTATCTTTGGTTTTGGGAAGTTTGATTATAATATGCATTGGTGACTTTCGAGATCTACCTTATGTGGGGTTCGATGAGCATCTTGAATAGATATCTCATCATCTTTCACTATATCAGGGAAGTTTTCTGCCAACAAATCTTCAACAATTCTCTCTGTATTTTCTGTTATCCTCCCCTGTTCTGGTACTCCAATCACTCATAGGTTATTCCTCTTGATAGAGGCCCACATAATTCTTAGGGTTTCTTCATTTTTTTCAATCTTTTTATCTGATGTTTTCCTCAGATAAGTTGGTGTCAAGTACTTTATCTTCAGTCTCACTAATTCTGACTTCTACTGCCTCAATTCTGCTCCAATGACTTTCTATTGAGTTGCCTAATTCTGAAATTTTATTGCTAATCTTCTGGATTTCTGATTGCTGTCTATGGATTCTTGCAGCCTGTTAAATTTGTCATTATGCTCTTCTCTAATCTTTTTAATTTCCTCTATTGAGTGTTCTACGTTTTGATTAATTTCCTTCCTAATTTCTTGAAGAGTTCTGTATATTAATCTTTTGCGTTCTGCCTCCGGTAATTCCAAAAAATTTTAGGTTCTTTATTTTGGGAGCTTGCTGAAGCCATCATGGATTGCCTTTTTATGTGATTTGATATTGACTTTTGTCTCTGAGCCATCAATAAGTTATTATATTTATTTATTTAATGTTTGCTTACTGCGTCCTAGCTTCTTGTTTTGATATGCCTAAATAGGCTGCTCGTATGAGCTAGTTTGATTATTGGCACCTTTGAAGCTCTAATGTCCTGTCACCAGGTGGTTAGATCTGTTATTTGGTATGTGAGCTGAGGAGTCCACCCACTCCTTCTGTATGGATTCAGCTCAGGTGCCCAGATAGATAGCCACCAAGTGTGTGGTGTAAGCTCTCATTTACAGTCCTAGACAGGCATGGGTGATTGGTGTAGGCACAGGCATCTGGCTGCAGCAGGGTGACACACTCTGACCAAGGCAGGGGGCTGACGGCCCTCCCAAGTGTCTAGGAGGAAGGCGTGTCCCTATTCCCTAGAACACGTAGGTGCGTGGCTTTTGCAGCCGGAATACGAGCAGCTAATGCTGTTGGCTGTAAGGACTGGGGGGCACCTCTTATTCATCGGCCCCTATCGCAAGTGGCTAGGTGGTATGGGTGGAGCCACCAATCTCAGGTCCCTGATGTGGGTAGGTGAAGACCCTGCTTAATGGGCAGAGCAGTGTCAAATGTCAAGAACCTGCAACTTCACAGATGAAACAGTTGAAGTTAAGAGTTCCGGTATATACCCTGTTGTACTGCGGTAATGAGGGCCTACGCTGTTGAGATGGGCCCACACAAGTGTATGCATGGGGAAAGGCACTCAAAGTCTGTGGATCCCTTATGCCTGTGCCTAGGCAAAGGAGCTGTGTCTACCCTGGGTTCCTGGCTTAGGGGACCTGGCAGTTTATTTTTTCCCTTTTATTTGTTCACTCTCCAAGGCAGGGAGAATGGCTCCAGGCGTGTGACAGATCCTACTTCTGACCCAGGGGACTTGGCAATTGCTGAAGCTGGTCCAGGACCCAGTGCAGAGCAGGGAGCGGGGAGGTAAATGGGAGAGAGGTTTTTCCCTAAGGGGGTGTTTTTGATCCGCATGGTAAGCCGTATGGAAGTACTTATCTTTTGCCGATGAGGGCTGCTTCTTACTGGTTCTTGGTAGCCGTGTAGACTCTCTGGTGCTAGGTCTCTCCCAGCATGGAAAACGCGCCTCCCAAGCACTGCCACTTGCCTGCCTCACCGCTCACCCCCGTGCTCATCAGGCTTGAAGGGCTCAGGCTCTCACCAGGTCAGGTGTGGCAACTCCTCGCTGCTTCCGAACCGTCTCTCCCTCCACCTGCCACTCAGTCCAGTTCCTCAACTCTGCCTTTGATGTTCAGGGCTCCCAGATTGCCATATATAATGGATTCACTTGTTTTTTTGGGTCTTTGTTGTAAGAGGGTCCACCGGAAACATCTGACTAGTCTGCCATATTGGCCCCGCCTCATCTGTATATCTTCTTTTTTTTAATAATTTTTTTGGTGAAAATATATATATAGCAAAACATACACCAATTCGATATCTTTTTACTTTTTTAATGTGGCTAGTAGAGAATGTGAAATTACAATGCAGCTCACACTATATTTCTACGGGACAGCACTGGTCTAAAGGGAAACTGAAGCCCAGAGAGGGTAAACAACTTGTTAACAGACTGTAATCAGGGTGACCTGACTTCTCATTCAAGGCTCTTTCCACCCTAACTGGATGTGGAAGCCAGCCTCCAAGATGGCCCCTAATGAGTCTCACCTTTTGTCACCCTTGTGTACTCCCTTCCACCCCAAATAGGGCTAACCTATTAGGATATTGCAGAAATGGCTGTGTGTGGCTACTAAAGCTGGGTCATAAAAGACATTGTGGCTTCCACCTTGTCTGGCATCACTTGCTCTAGGGGAAGCCAGTTCCAGTCATGAGAACATTCAAGCAGCCCTATGGAGAGGTCCACATGATAAGAATCTGCAGCTTCCTGTCAACAACCAACACCAACCAGGCATGTGAATGAGCCATGTTGCATGCTGATATTCCAGCCTCAGTCAAGCCTTTAGATGACAGTGCCCCAGCTGACATCTTAACTACAAATTCATGAGATCCTGATGCAGAATCACCCAGCTAAGCCTCTTCCAAATTCTTGACCCACAGAAAATATATGAAATAATAAATATTATTGTTTTTAATTTGCTAAGTTTCGGGGCAATTTGTTATGCAGCAATAGATAACTAATGCATAGCTTTACAAACTTACAGACCTCATCTAAGAAAAACTTTTATATCTCTGGCATTTATACAGTATGGGAAATTATTCTTGTCTTTCCCCCAGTCTTTCTCCTGTTCAAGTTACCCCAATTAAATACAGCTCAATTATCAGGCTTGGGAAATCTAATCCAGGAAGACAGGATCCCACTTTATTCTTTGAAGAGACTTTTCCCTGTTCCCTTTATTGTAGAAGGTCTCTTGAGGATGAAAAAGCACCACATCACATCACATTCATCTAGGCCATCCAGAGATTTGAGGCCCACCACATCAAAGGAACTGGAATCCAGGTTTGCACAATTAGATATAGTATCAAGGAAGTAGTAAAAATTGAGAAATGACAATTTATGACATGTAAGTTTCTCTAAACTGAGAAACTGTTGTCAACAGTAATGATAATCTCTTATATTTATATATGTGTGATGCTTTTTATAGGGTTTTCACACCTAGTATCTCTGGGGTAGGCGAAGAAGAGATAAATAAACTTGAATACATATGGAAACAATGGCTCAGAACTCATGACCTGCCCTTTTCTCAAGGCCAGTGAATGGCAGGGCTGGGTCTAGAACCTGGGTTTCGTGATTCCAAGTCAGGCTTGCTGCTTTCCAAGGCAGGGCCATCCTGGCTGTAATAGCAATGGCCTTCAGTTGAGGCTGTCCTCTGAAGTCAGTGTGCACTTGTAGGTCTCCTTAAAGGCCTCAAGGAAAGGTGGCATTACTTCATCCACAGTGACATATCTCTGGAGCTCCTTACTCAGGGAAGTGACACCTGTCCCCACCAGCCCACAGGGGACAATGTGCTCAAACCACGTCAGGTCCGTACAACAGTTCAGAGCCAAGCCGTGAGATGTGATGTGCCTTCCACAGCGGACTCCTGCAAGGCAAGTCAAAGGGTCTTAGAACAGATACCCTCCCCTACCCCGGCTTCAGAACCCTCCTTAGCTCAATAAGGGGATTTGACTAGATCACTGGTTTTTAAACTTTGTTTCTGGAGAACCCAAAGGGTTGTGCAGACTGGGGAAGGGGAGAAAGTGACTCCACAGCAGCTCCATTTATTATGTATAATAGAGTCTCCAGGAAATGTCCTTTAATACAGAGTGTGTTGCTTAAAAAAATAAATATGAAAAGTACTAAGAGCCCTTATTCTGACATTGTGATTCATAGGAAACAACCTGGTAAGGCATTTCTATGACTCCATCCGTAAAAATGAGTGTTGGACTAAATGCACAAAAAAAAAACCGTTGCCATCGAGTCGATTCCGACTAATAGCGACTCTATAGGACAAAGTAGAACTGCCCCATAGAGTCTCCAAGGAGCGGCCGGCTGGTGGATTCGAATTGCCGACCTTTTGGTTAGCAGCTGTACTTCTTAACCACTCCTAAAAACTCTTAAACGCGGCCAATAGTTCTGATTCAAAACCCGCGCCCGTTACACCTCCTCCCAGCTGGAGCTCTGCCCTCAGCCTCCACTGGTCCAGCCCTTGGCCCCGCCCACTAGTGCTCACCGATCGCACAAATCTTGAGCTCACCCAGCCAGACGCCGGTATAGGGTGGGGGTCGCGCGCGGGCGGCCGGCAGGCCCTGGAGCTCGCACAGGCGCACAGCGCACGCCTCCAGCGCCGCCACATAGGTGCGCAGGCGCAGGCCTAAGCGCCGCAAATCGAGTACCGGATGGCAGAGCAGCTGACCTGGGCCGTGGAAGGTGGCTAGGCCGCCGCGGCCGGTAGCGCGCACCTCGGCGCCTAACGCCCGCAGCCGAGCCGCCTCCTCGGGTGTCAGGCCGCCGCGCAGCCCGGCTGTGTACACAGGCCCCGCGGGCTCGCTGAGAAGGAGCGCGCCCACCTCAATTCTCGGTCGGGCCTCGGTGTCTGGCTCTGTTTGCAGCTGCCTCAGCCATTGCTCCTGCAGCGCCAGAACTTCGGTATACGGCACCCGGCCCAGTCGCACTAGACGCACCATCGGTTGTCTCATCGCGCAGGCTGTGGCCTCCTCGGGGCCCGCCCCCTGCCTTGACCTAGGGGCGTGCCGGGAGGGGCGGGGACTCAGGGACACCCTAAGCCGCTGTTCCTAAGGGCGTGTTACAGGCTCGTGGGAAATTTTGTGACCCCAGGACCCAGCACAGGGTCTGGTTCATCCATTCATTCGTTTCAATAACCAGTATTTAGTGCCTGTTTGTGTTCTTTAAGGAGCCCTGGTGGGATAGTGGTTAAGCGCTTGGCTGCTAACCGAAAGGAATGCTCTGATCCTGGCATGGCCTGGCAGAATTGTTCTAAATTAAAGCACCAAACCCCAACACCCCCTCCCCGTTGCCATCGAGTGTATTCTGACTCATGGCGACCCTATAGGACAGAGTTAGAACTGCCCCCACAGGACTTACGAGGAGCTGCTAGTGAATTCGAACTGCCGACCTTTTGGTCAGTAGCAGAGCTCTCAACCACTGTGCCACTAGGGCTCCAGACTGAAGCGGGGCGGGGGAGAGGGCAAAAATTTATTTACTTTCAATGACCATTCATTGTACATAGGCTGCACCTGAGGAGGCAGGTGTAACCTTTGGCAAGGCTGCTTCCTTAAGGGAAGGGTAGTTCCCAGAGAGGGACTGAGTTATGAGTCATCAGCAACCAACTCCCAGAAGCTGAGAGGAAAGATTGGCTGAGTCCTGAGGGCAGATCCTGGGCAGCACACCACAGCATCCACAGTGCTGTGGTTGGAATGTCATTTAAACAGATGTAAATTTACCCAAAAAACTTCTACTGAATACCAACTGTGTGTTAGGCCCATTGCTAGATGATGGGCTATTCCATCCCTGTATTCCTGAATAACAACCAGAACCCAATTTTTATACCCTCAGTCTATACTCTGAGTCTTCCATCTTGTAGTCAAGGATTGTTCAGTTGAAAGAAAGGAAGAAATGAAATTGATTTTAATTATGCAGAAAAGAAGAGAATAATATAACAAATTATTGTTTGCCTAGCATTTAGCCTTGTCAAATTTTAATATTTTACTATATTTCAGATTTTTAATAATTTTAGACAAAAATACTATAGAAACAGCTAGGTGAAAAACAGCATAAATAGTATGCTGTCAGATTTGTAAAAAATGAAGAAAAATATGTGTGGATCCTGACTGATAAACTATTTTTTGTGTATGCATGAAATATGTTTGGAAAGTCTTAGAAAGACTACACAAGAAGATGATAACATTGATTGCTCCCTTAGCTGACTGGGAGACATTTAATAAACATAGACATAAAAATCCTAAGCAAATATTAGCAAATTGAATCCAGCAATGCATGAAAGTATTAATACAGCACAACCAAGTAGTGTTTATCCCAGGAATGCATAGTTGTTTTTACATTCTAAAATCCAACAAAATATTCACCACAAAGGAGAAAAATCATACAATTAATTCAATAGATGCAGAGAAAGCAGCTGGCAAAAATCAATAACTATCCTGATTAAGGAAACCCTGGTGGCGTAGTGGTTAAAAGCTACAGCTGCTAACCAAAAGGTCGGCAGTTTGAATCCACCAGGTGCTCCTTGGAAACCCTATGGGGCAGTTCTACTCTGCCCTATGGGGTGGCTACGAGTCAGAATCGACTTGACGGCAATGGGTTTGGTTTTTTGGGTTTTGTACTGATTAAAACTCTCAGTGAATTGGGAATAAAAGAGAAATTCTTTAATCTGACAAAGGGCATTGCATTAATCAAGGTTCATACAAGACACCACAAAGTAGTATTTTTAATTAAATTTTTATTTTGAGAATGTTGTAGACTCACATGCATTTGTATGAAATAATACAAACAGATCCCGTATACCCTTTACCAGTTTTCTCCCATGATAACATCTTGCAAAACTCCAGTACCGCATGAAAGCCAGGATTGTAAGGATGGCGCAGGACCAGGCAGTGTTTTGTTCTGTTATATATAGGGTCACTATGAGTTGAAACCGACTCAAGGGCACCTAACAAAACAACAACAACAGTCCTACTATTAATGGATGTTTGCAGCTCTTTCTTTTCATTTTGAGTTGTGTTGCATTGGCGAATGAAGGTTCCGAAAGCTTTACTCCAGCCATGTCATTAAGGTCAACTCTATTTTGAGGAGCAGCTCTTCTCCTGCTGTATTTTGAGTGCTTTCCAACCTGAGGGGCTCATCTTCTGGAACTATACCAGACAATGTCCCACTGCTATTCATAAGGTTTTCACTGACCATTTTTTTCAGAAGTAGAATACCAAATGCTTCTTCCTAGTTTTAGTCTGGAATCTCTGCTGAAACGTATACATCATTGGTACCCTGCTGGTATTTGAAATACTGGTGGCATAGCTTCCAGCATCACAGCAACATGCAAGCCACCACACTACGACAGACTGACAGACAAGTGGGGATTATTATTATTATTACTGTATTATTATGTTAAAGATGTTTTAGTGTATGTGGAAGTATTTCTTATAATGTTTTTATGCATAGAAAGGTACACTATCAACTATATACTAGGACAAACATTTGACTAACTGATGTTAGATACAAACCATACCTAACTGTTCAGACTTACATACAAATTCAACTTGAAGACAGATTTAGAAATGGAAGTTGTTTGTAATCTAGGAACTGCCTGTAATCTGTGTTATATAAATGTAATCATACAGTATGTAACGTTTTGGAATAGGCTTTTTCACTCAGCATAATTCTCTGGAGATTCATCCAGGTTGTTGGTGCATTAATAATTCATTCATTTTCATTGCTGAGTAGTATTCCATGGTTTGGATGTACCACAGTTGGTTTAACCATCCACCTGTTGACGGACCCTAGGGTTGTTTCCAGTTTGCAGATACCACAAATAAAGCTGCTACAAACATTTGTGTACAGATTTCTGTGTGACCATAACTTTTCATTTCTCTGAGATAAATGCTCAGTACTGCAATTGCTGGATTGTATGGTAGCCGCATGTTTAGGTTTTTATAGACTGTCAAAATAATTTGCAGAGTGGCTGTTCCATTTTACATTCCCACAAGCAATATGTGAGTGATCCAGTTTCTCTGCATCCTCACCAGCATTTGATGTTATGACTATTTTTTATTTTAGCCATTCTGATACATATGTATTGGTATCTCATTGTAATTTTAATTTGCATTTCCCTAGTGGCTAATGATTTTGAACATCTTTTCATGTGCGTATTTTCCACCTGTATATCATCTTCAATGAAATATTCATTATGTCTTTGGCCCATTTTTTGATTAAGTGGTTAGGTTTTTTTTTACTGTTGAGTTTTGAGGTTCTTTATATATTCTAGATACCAGTTCTTTGTCAAATAGTGGTTTGCAAATATTTTCTCCCAATCTGTAGCTTGCCTTTTCATTTTATTTTTTTCCCATACAAAAATTTATACCTATATTGTTATGTGACTCTAACTGCTCTACCCATACGGTGACAGCACACTCCTCCTTTACACCCCTGGTTCCCCATGTCCATTCAACCAACTCCTAACCCTCTCTGCCTTCCCATCTCAACTCTGGACAGAAGCTGCCCATTTAGTCTCTTGTATCTACTTGAGCTAAGAGGCACACTCCTCACGAGTATCCCTTTATGT